TTTTTTTTTTCTCTAAAACTTGCTACCTCAGTCTAGTTTTAACACCGCCAACCTCACTAGTTGAAACCAAGACAGTTGGAAAGATTTGAGTTCCTATGCTTTTAATGTTTGTGATAGAATCCCCAGTTGCTGCAGCCCAACTGTGGGAGGATTTAACTATACCCAAGGGATGATCAATTAAATTGTTTGTTGGAATATTGAATGAACATAAATGATAACAAAGTTAAGGCAATTCGAGAGGCCCAATCTCTCCACTATTTTCTCCATACTTCACTGCTTGAATGCAAATCCCAGCTCTCCCTTATTATATTTATAGACAATCTATTAGCTTTCTATTACCCTTTTACCTTTTTACTAACTATGGAACATTCTAGAATAGTTGCCGACTTGGCTGCAATGTAATTGGATGTTTATCATTAATAACTATGGAACATTCAAGAACAGTAATTTTTTTGAGATTTTCTGTATTTTATTCAAAAACAATCCCAACTGGAGATAACAAAGGAATTGAAAGATAACAATCCAGCACTTCAAGAAGCCGACAGTCTCCACAATAAGATCCACTAATTTTTCCTACCTTATCCCTCCCTCCCTCTTCTCTAGTTATATCCTATTTGTAACCACTTATCCCAGCCAGTTGGACTAGTTAACAGAATCTGTTGTATCTGCAGAATGGTTGTCACTTCTTCCAGGCTCTTCTAGAATATACTTGATTCAGCTTCTATCAATACCCATCGCCCCGAAATACACCTTGTTTGCAAGGTGGAAGTGTGGTTCAACTGCAAAATTCGAAATACGATGTAGCTGAACCATTCTTTGGCACGAGTCCCTGCCAAGGCAAATGCAAAAATGGAATATTTCAATTTCAATGATTGGGCCGATCGCCAAACTTCTAGTAGTATAGTGCCAAAGATACTCCATAACCTGTCATACCCATCCATAAAGCTTCAATGTGTTGAACTTCGTCAGTTGGGATAAACTTGAGGATAGCCACACCCTCCAACATCACGACAACTCCTGACTGCTCTATTTCACCTTTTCCTTTCAACATTTTTGGGGCAGTCAGGCCCACTACAGTATTTAGAAAAATTTCAACCATATCGACTCCAACTGCCTCCTTGCCATCGGCGTCACTTTCAATTTCATCTCCTTCAATTTCGTCAACCACTTTTTCAATTAGAAGTATCTTCCGTCCCTTGTTGCGACAATGGCAGGAGAAATTTTTCTCACCTGATTGCATCTGATGGCCGTGACTGCAATTCTATCCAGTTAGTGGGCCTTTTCCCTGATTCGGGCTCAATTCACTTTGGGCCTGTACTAGTATTAATTCCTAGCATCCACTCTTTGGCCCTTTTCCACTGTGCAGCCCAGCCCATTCTCTTTTATCATGCTATTTTCAGTTTTGGATTGGAGCCCATCGATACAGTTACCCTCCACAACCAAAGGCGATGCTAATGGCTTGAAGAGATGTCGGCATTCCTCCTCCCTTCCCCATTCCCTATTTTCCCATTTATCCATCATTAGATCAAGTATCTCCATCATTATTGCCATACTTCTCTGGAACTCAAATTTCATGGCTTCTATTCCCCCTCTTATTTTTGAACTCATTTTTTCAATCTTCACTTCCAGATTACTAATCCGACTTTCTAATTCCTTTTCTTCATCAGATGTAATGTCCCAGAGTGATTGCTCTGATACCATTTGATAGGAGTGCTTGTAATTAGAGGATTTAGCAAAGAAAAGAAACAGTAATTTTTTTGAGATTTTCTGTATTTTATTCAATAACAAACCCAATTGGAGATAACAAAGGAATTGAAAGATAACAATCCAGCACTTCAAGAAGCCGACAGTCTCCACAATAAGATCCACTAATTTTTCCTGCCTTATCCCTCCCTCCCTCACTCTTCTCTATTTATATCCTATTTGTAACAACTTATCCCAGCCAGTTGGACTAGTTAACAGAATCTGTTGTATCTGCAGAATGGTTCTTACTTCTTCTAGGCTCTTCTAGAATATACTTGATTCGGGTTCTATCAGTTTGGTAACAACAATGTGTTCGTGTTATCAACATTTACATAATATGGAAAAGATAAATATTCATAGAAATGTGATTTTTCAAATTTGGAGAATGTTGGAAAGATTCAAATTCCTATGCCTTTAATTTTTGGAAATAATGATGTGTTCATGTTATCAATATTTACATAATCTGGAAAAGATAAATTATGCACAGCAACATGATTTTGCAAATTTAGAGAATGTTCCAGCACCCAGAATTCTTCACTGATATTAGAATCTAATCAATGATACAATAAGTAGAGGTGAAACTATTCGAGGAAGGATATGTTTAAGCGAATGATGACTATGGTGATAGGGGTATGTATGCCTAACGAAGGTCTTGTTCAGAAGAGCAATGCAATCCAGTAGAATAAGTTCGAATAGCAAGAAAGTATACCAAAATCAAAATGGCTTGACATCATGACTTGGTTACAAAAGATTTGAATACGAGATCTTCTCATAGATTAAGTGATGGGTTTGACTTAGCAGCAAACCAAATTCACACAAGTGATACCAAATTTTGCCATCTCACTTTGCACGTTTTATTTATTGGCTTAATTTTTTTTTTTTTTTTTTTTTTTTTTTTTTTTTTTTTTGGTAGTCATTATTTTACCATTGCGGTTTTTGGTCACTCAACTATATTTGAAAATTATCATTTTGCAGTTCACCGAGCAGGCAGATCTAATTTGACTCTGATATGTTAATTACTTAGTTCGAGAAGATGAGAATCTATGCATAGCAGAGAAAACATACGAGAATAAGTGTATCGTCACCAGGGCCAGGCAATCCTTTCTTTACCATGTCATTTGATATGTAACCCGTACCTCCTTGCCAATCTTTTGTTGGATTATCAACAGTGTAGAATACCTAGGAATTCTCGCACAGAAAGGATATTTCAATACAAACGATAAAGAAAAATTCAGAACATATAGTAGTGCTTATGTGATGATTCTGGAAGTACCTTCAAGTTTGGGTGTTTAGCTGCAAGTACATCTAGCTTCTTTTTGAGAAGTATGTCATCAGGAGATACATTAGCATACAGCAATGTAACCTATAGGGTAAAAATTTATCACCAATATGATGTTATAAAAGCATGCTTATGATATTGAAACACAGCCTACATTGTGACGCTGAACAACCGTTAAGTCTTACACATGAGAAAAATAAATAAATTAAATTATTAGTCTTACCTGGGTATTATCATCAGGGTTTTTAAGGATAGCATCAATTATCTGAAGCATTGGAGTGATGCCAGAGCCTCCTGCAATCTGAATATAAAATTTTTAGTTTAAATTCGAGAAATTGATTAAAACTGCATACTTCATTATAACAATCTGAAAGCATTATAATTGTATTCACAGATTACGGGATTCTGTAAATGGAGATACTTGCAGATTCTCGGTTTTTTCATTTTTTTCTTTCCAAAAGACAAATCAGGATGAAGTATGTACCATATAAGATAAATTACATCATAGAATTGGACATATCATTTGTATAAACTCAGATATACTGAAGGTGGATAATTTAGACCTGGGGATCTGCTTCAAAAGCTTACATAACAAGCTGGAGTTGTTGGTTCTCAAATAAAAGTAGATAAAGTTTAAGATTTCATATTATCGTGCAAATACAACGATAGAAACTCTTATCAGCATAGGAGAACTGTAGCTTGAAGATTAAAAAGAAAGCTCAAGGATCACATGGATTTTGACCATAAATAACAGAGCCTTGATACCCTGAGCAAGAGTAGAATGATAAATCGCAACACATACTTGGACATAAATCCCCACCTTCAACTGCAAAGCACTCATAATAACTTCTGCTTATTTGAGTTTGAATTGAGACATTAATTGAAATTGATTCCCAAATTCTCAGACACTGTATGCAGCATGCCGTGGGTTTTGACTCACACATCTGACAGGTTTCTTTTGCCAAGGCTATCAACTTCTCACATCTTATTCCAGTATTTACATTTTCAGAGTAAGGTTCTGAAATTGCATGGTAATGATCCAAATTTAATTTGTTTCTTTCTTTTATTATTTGTATCTCAGACTCCAAAGTATACCATGTTCAGCAGTAAATTTTCAAAATAGTGATCTTACCATGCCAATATGTTTTTTCATATTGGGATTGTATCTGAGCTTTTCAATAGGCCTGTAAGAACAGGAAAAGGAACCCGTAATGGTATGATTATATCTAAAATGGTTCTAGCCAGACAGTCAATCTTATACAGCTTACCCTTTCACTTCTACGAAATCCCCTGGTTTTAAGCTAGCAAAATGCTGACTCATTTTACCTTCTGGATACACCTGTAAAGTTTTCAAAGCTTTTTATTTTTAAGCTATGACCATAAATAAAATCTTTAAATATGAAGAGAATAGCATACAATTAAACAAAGATTACCAAATATAAAAGCAAAATAGAGAACCAACCCATACCTTAATCAATAAATCGAAGTATCCCTTAGCATCTGGATCCGATATAGGTGTATAGCTGAAAAGAACAAGCTCCTGAATATTATTGATTTAGCATATTAACAAATCATCTCTCAAAACCTGGCATTCTATAGAATTTCAACTCAACAGGTCTACACGCTTTATTCTTTAATTTCAATTTCAGAATTGTGCCTTCTGCATACAAATTAAAATTTTCAATTCATGATTTCAAATTTGTACTCTCGTTATCCAAGTTTATTTGTCTTGGTTGTATTCTCCAAATCTTCAGTAGTGAGCAACTATTCAGAAAGAGATCAAAATTTGCAGACTTTCCGAAGAGAAAACGAAGATGGTTGAATGTGAGATGAATAACAATAACAAACAATACTGAAATGTCAAGATCAATGATATAGAACAGAATAGTATGAACAAAATATTTTTTCCCCTTCCTACTTCCTACATCCATAAATAGTATCAAGAACAAGCGATATGACAGATTACTAGTGTCAGGGGAAGCAATGGCAATGAGATATTTATTATCATGAAAGTTAACACAAGTTAGCATATATAAATTGAATGCAGTTATAAATATATAGGTGAAAAAGAGAGGGGGGGGGGGGGGGGGGGGGGGGTGGAGAAAAGAAAAAGTTTTGATTTCATTTCATTGAGCCAATTTGCGTTCCCATTCTAGATTAAAATTCTAAAATGTTAGGAAAAGTTTTTGATATTATTTTAAAGTGCCCATGGCATCACAGTATACTTTGCAAGAAACCTTAAATTTGCAAAATCGTTAAAAGACGATGTTGCAATAGCGCATTAAAAATAGCTACACAAATAATTTCAAAAAAATTGAACTCTTTTTTTAATCTCTTTGACCTTTTTTTCGAGCTATACTTCTCAATCATGATGATAGGTATTATATAAAAAAATCGGCCATATATTCAACACATATTTCAAAAAATAACATCGTTAAATGATGGATCTAAAATAGCTAACATAAGATGACTCTTAAATGAGTATAGTAATCTTGTATCATGTCCACCAACTCTATCGTCACTTTAAATAAAATTTTATTTCTCGTGTAACTTGAATATTCGAATACAAATAAAATTATTTTCAGGTCATTAAAAGTTGTATATTATTATTTTTAAAAGAATTTGTACAAAAAAAATTATTTTCAGGTCATTAAAAGTTGTATATTATTATTTTTAAAAGAATTTGTACAAAAAAAATTATTTTCAGGTCATTAAAAGTTGTATATTATTATTTTTAAAAGAATTTGTACAAAAAAAATTATTTTCAGGTCATTAAAAGTTGTATATTATTATTTTTAAAAGAATTTGTGAATTGAAAATTTGAGATTCTTAGTTGAATTTGTATATTTTAGTTCTTGGTATTGATACAAAGCTAATCAATTTTTATCTCCAAAAATGATTGGTATACGGATTTTAGGTCGAGAGAAAATTTACAAAAACCTCACAAAGTGTGGGTCCCACCTGAAATAAACAATTTCAAAAAATTTACCCCACCTTCCATGATGTGAGGTGTCGGTAGGGGTTATGCCTGTACACCAATCATCATTCTTTTATCTTTCAGGGAACTATAAGTTGCACCTAAAGTAGTATGTTAAAGTATTTGAATTGCACGTGTTTTGTACTCTGATCTGAGCCAAGGGCCACAAGCGTCAAAGTCAAGTCCAACGTCAAGC